CCAATAATAAATCTTTCGTATAATGTTTTTAATATTTGTTTTTATTAATAATATAGAAATAGATAGATAATCATATTCATTCCATAATTAAAAAAATATTCGAGACAAAATTTAGTTAGTCCAATTTTAATATTTGAATTTTAAGATATAGCTCTTGTAAATTAATTAAAATAAATTTTTTTTGGACTTGAATCTTTTCACCATTTTTTTATTATAGAAACAAAATCCCTTTTCCCAGGCATCGATCTACTATATTTATCATTGCTATAAAAAGTTTTGACAATAGCAAAGGTGGTGGTATCTATTTCTTACAAGGTTTAGGATTCGGTGTTGAAAAACCTTTTGATTTTAAGGCCATATGATATGAAATATTAAATTCTTTTACAATTTTTTTTAATGTCCAATTTGATGGCAATAATGATATTCTATATTTATATGTAATCCACAGCTGTGGGAAATTGATTTATAAGGTATCAGGAATTTCATCGAAATTTTCATCTTTTGATGAAGATAATGGTATAATTTTATTCGTTAAAACTATTTTTACTTTTCTTTGAATATTTCTTTTCACATAAGCGTTTTTTTTAATGGGAGATTCCCCTAATGATTTTAGGGCTTGATTAATTATATGAGGGGGAGAATAAATATCTACATTGTCATTTGAAGTATAAGGAAGGTTTGCTATGTTGGCATGAAGAGCATATTAACATATCTAAATCTATTGGATCATATAGGGTAGAATTTTTCCTAGATTTTTGCAGTAATAAGTATGTTTTTGTAGATTAAATGGATTGCAATATTTTGATATTTTAACAATTGGTACGTTCATCTGTGATGTAGAATAAAATTTTTCTGCACCTAGAACATATGTTTTTGCACTCTTCAAATCCCGAATGTTATTAGTAGACAGGTGATATAATAATAAGCCGCAGACGGGTTGAATTATTTAAAATTAATCTGAACGGGCAAGTTAAAAATATTATCCAGAAAGGGAGACCGTTTTAAACAGTTTAATTTATAAAATAATATACTAGTAAAATATAATCGACAATATGCCTAATATATTGTTTTTTACTGAAGCTATTATACATTACCAAGTTAATAAGTCATTCATCATAGGGTTATTCCATGTCAAATGAGCAAAAAAATCAAGATTTTCGGCCGACCCCTTTCAATTTCGATAAAAAGTTGTAGACTGGTTATATATGTTCCCATTAGATTATAAACAAAATTTTAGCGCATTAGCAACTATATTAGCGGAGATAATCAGGGTTAAAGGTCCAAAAAACGTCTTTTTTTGCTTTTTACTGATGTCAAATAATTAGTTTTTAATTTAAAACTAAATATGATCAAATATTGAATCTAATATTAATAAGTTAATAATTGATAATTATGGCTAAAACATCAAAATTAATTTTTGATAAAATATGGGTCATCTTATGTTCAGTTGAAAACTTGAAATTAATATTTCGAAATGTATATGATCTCCGATTTTTAATTTTTTTTAAGAAATATTATCCGTTTACTATTTTTTTAATAATTTCTTCAACAATTAGCATGGCTGGATATTTATTTTAAAAAATATTGCGATTTTTATACTTTAAAAAAATAGATAGCGCTATATATAATAGTTTTAATATGTTAAAATTCATTTTTTTATTGATTAAAAATATTTTAATGTATAATATATCATAAAATTGGATTATGTAACTTTGTAAACCTTATTGAGATATTCGCAGGATATAAAAAATTATAATAATTTTTTTAATATTTCAATGAATATAAAAAATAATTAAAAAATCCGACTAGCACACGAACAAAAAAGCAGGATTAAAGGAGTGCAGGAAAATTATTAAGGGAAAAATCGAAAATCACATTAATTACCAGGCCTACCCCCAACCCTCCACCCCCCCCCCAGACTAAGTCATACCCATCAAGATCAAGAATGTTATGAAATTGTCATTATCTTAAATTATTAAAATAACCAGAGATAAAGAAAATTTCGAAGATTTTGAAAAATTTTTTAAGCAATAAAAATAAACAAAATTATAGTTCTGATGAAATAAGCCGACTCATGCCTGGAATAAAAGATTGTGTATCTGTTAAAGGCGAGAAAGAATCAGTCCAAAGACTTATATTAAATAAGCTTAAATAAATATTCAAGATGTTTAAGGAAGAATACCCAAATATATCAATTGGATTCTCTAAATTTGCCGAACTTAGATCAAAAAAATGTATTTTAGTTGGAGCTAGTGGCACACATACTGTTTGTGTCTGTGCCATTCATCAGAATGTGAAATTAATGACAAATGTCGAAAAATTTAAAAGATGGGGAATTTTTAACAATTCTAGAATATTCTGAGAATTATTCCTTTTTTACAAGATGAAGTTCAGGGATTTCATTGGAACAACGTGCAGGCCACTATACATCCATTTGTAGCATATTATAAATCTGGAGAATTAAAATATATAAATTTTGTTATTTTATCCAAATTTAATTCTATACCAGAAAAAATAATATATTTTTCAGATGAAGCCGCGTCTCAATACAAGAATCGCAAATCTTTTCTGAACATATGCTTTCATAAATACGATTTTAATATTCCTGCAGAATGGCATTTCTTTGCCACTGCTCACGGCAAAAATGCATGTGACGGTATCGGGGGAACTGTCAAAAGATTAGTTGCCAGAGCTAGTCTTCAAAGGCCAAATAAAATCAAATCCTAACCCCATTAGAATTATATAATTATGCTAAAGAAAATATTAATGGAATTCAATTTGAATATGTATCCAATCAAGAATATATCGAAGAGGAATTAGCCCTTAGTAAAAGATTTAATGCACTGCTTATACATGGGACCCAAAAAATTCACGGGGTTATTCCCATTGATCAAAATAGACTAAAAACCAAAATATATTCTAATTCCAAAAAATATAATATAAAACAAGTTTCGTTTTTAAATGAGAAAATTAATTTTTAAAATATTAATGGATATATATGTGATAAATGGTGGTTAGGATATATAATCGATAAAAATGATATAAATGAAGAAGTAAAAATTCGATTTTTACACCCTTGTGGACCTTCAGCCTCATTTAAATTTCCTCTGAAAGATGATATTTTAGTGTTGCCTAAATCTCATATTCTCTCGCTGGTCAATCCTTCTACTCCCACCAGTCAAACATATATTATCTCCTGAAGCAATCTTACAAGCTAGCCAGGCTTTGTATTCCTTTAGATGAAGTAAGATTTAACTAATTTATAAACTATCTTAATTAGGCTAAATTTGTGAAGATTTTAAAAATTTATGATCTGAATTACAAATAAATATATATAATAGACATTGTAATCGATTTTGATATATATACATTAAAATATTTTTAATCAATAAAAAAAAAAAATTTTAACATATTAAAACTATTATATAAAGCGTCATCTATTTTGTTAAAGTATAAAAATTGCAATATTTTTTAAAATAAATGTTCAGCCATGCTAATTGTTGAAGAAATTATTAAAAAAATAGTAAACGGATAATATTTCTTAAAAAAATTAAAAATCGGAGATCATATACATTTCGAAAAGTTTTCAACTGACCATAAGATGACCCATATTTTATCAAAAATTAATTTTGATGTTTTCGCCATAATCATCAATTATTAACTTAGCTATTGATATTATATTCAATATTTGATCATATTTAGTTTAAAATTAAAAACTAGTTATTTAACATCAGTAAAAAGCAAAAAAAGACGTTTTTTAGACCTTTAACCCCGAATATCTCCGCTAAAATAGTTGCTAATCCGCTAAAATTTTGTTTATAATCTAATGGGAACATATATAACCATCCTACGATTTTTCATCGAAATCGAAAGGGGTCAGCCGAAAAGTGATTGATTTGACATGGAATGACCCCATAGTAGCAAAGTAGAGATCAAAAAATGTAAAACTTTTAAAGGATGTTGGGAGGAGGGGGAGGGGGCAGAACTGGAAAATTTTACATTTCTTATAAAGATCAATATTTTAATTTTCATTTTCCTTAAGAATAATATTTTCAACCATTAACGCCATCTATTTTTTTGTCAATTTTTGGTAAAAATGTATATTTTGGAGGAGTCGATACTGTAGCCAATGTTTTGACATCGTATACATTTATAAAAGGTGTAAAAATAAAAGCAAAACCCCCTTTTTTGCTTAAAAACACTGGTAAATAAATATAGTTAAACCGAAGTTAAAGGCTCAAATTTTATTGTTTATTGATAGCTCTTTAGAGATTTTTTTACTATAATTAATTTTGAGATATAAGCATTTTAAAAATTTTACATAGGAAGTGGCTCTTTTATGCACCTATGACTATATCTTGGGAACCAGGTGTGTTAGCGAACTAAAATGAACCACTTTCTCATGTTTTATCTATCTAAATAATTCCAGAAATTTTAAACAATTCTAAAAGGGGCATGTCGAAAATGTGCCTTTTTTTATTGATTTGACATGTGGAATAATCCAGTATAAAAAAACAGAGGATGAAATAACTTAAAGGTTTGACAAAAAAATCTTCAATGAGCATTTAACAATTTTGTTTGCCAAATTTTTTTTTTGAAGGAATAAAGATTTTTCAACATAAAAATTAAAAATGATTTGCTCATAATTTAATTATAGATATGTTTTTGCAAAATTTGATCAAAAATTTTGTGAGTAAAATTTATTTTAAAACAAATCTTCAAATATCAAAAAATTTTGATTATAAAATTTTATTACATGATATTCCAGCTAGAGGTCTGCATTACCCAACCTGAAATCCAATCCACCATGAAATTGTGATTTTTTTTTTTGGGGGGGGGGGGTTAAGCAAGAATTTTTTTACATTTTTGTGGTTGGGTCAAGTCAGGGAAATATTATACTTCCTATAAGCTGGATCAAAAAAATTCATCATGTAGAGACCTCTAATCCCAACCTCTGACAGATTTGACTGTACTGAAATTTTTTTAAAAAAATTATATACTTTGCTCATCTTCTCCTTGTGTCTAGTGGGAATCAAGTTGCGCAATGTGTTGAAGCCTGCATTGATGCTCTGCATGCGACGACGTTCATTACTGTTGGCTATTTCTCTTCTGATTCGCTTTTCCTTCTCGATTTGGTAGCGTGAGGAAAATATTTCCTCCTTCGAACTTTTTGGGAAATAAAATAAAGTATGTGGGAGTGAAATGAATTGACGAATAATTGAATGTCAAGTTTGATACATATTCAAATTTTGTAAAAGTTATTTTTTAAAAAAGAATGGAAATGGAGTAGGCATTTTTATTAATCATCTTTCATTGTATTGCTCTTATAGCATTCTTGAATAATTACATTTTAATAATTAATTTTTTTTAATTAAAACCTTGCCCTGGCTAATGAAATCAGCTACAAATATTTTTCTTTAAATTTAAAAAAACTGTAAGTGCCCAAAATATATTAATAAAATTAGTGATAGTATTCAATTGTATAATAACATTCATTCATGAATTTGGTCATAAAATCCATAGCTATGAGCTAGGACAGGATGTAACAATTGATATTTGGCTATTTTAATTTATGGTGCATACTTATAGATTTCCAGCATATGGTCGTAATTTGTTGAACAATCTTTTAGAGGATCGTTTTTCAGCATAATTTTTTCCATTTTATTCACCTCCCTATAACATGTGTTTGAATATATATATGTAATATACAATGGAATATAGGTAAAAGAAACCCAAGTATACAACACATTTAAAACATATTAAGATCAAGAATCATCAAAAAAATAGTTGATTAATGGCTAAAATTAGCTTAATCTACAAGTATGTCTCGAAAAAAAAATTAATAAGCATTAAGGGCATGTATTATTTTTTCTCAGTTGTCTCCAATGTTAAGCTACGTAAAGAAACCTCCAAAGACTGTTGTGCATTTTTGGGGATCAACCAAAGATGAAGCAATAAATTACCCAACTATATTAAAAATGCTGGTCAGGCAGTTATAGATTGCAAGAATTGGAAGTAAATTTATAAGTGGGGTGATTAAAATGTTTACTCATCCTCTCTTAACTTGGTAGAATTTTACTGCATTTTTTTAAAAATTATAACGATATTTGCTTTATTTATATGGAGAATGATTCTTATTTGATTTATTTCATCTATTTTAAGAAAAAATTGATTCACAATAGAGTATTGCAGGGCCAGTCCAAAACCTAACCCAGCCAAAAAAATAATATTATATTTACTTTCCTATTCTTCCCCTTTTTGTAGAAATAAAAAGTTAACTGAATAAAAAATTATGTCAATATTTAACTGATAATTTTTTGCATACATATTTTATAGTAATTTTTTTTATAAGATTTAATAAAGGTTCAATGGGTAATTATAAAATATATAAAACAAAAATATTGAAAATATTCCAAAATTAACAGAGTACTACTAAATTTAGGTATTTTGGTGGAAATAATAGCCACTCCTAACTCACAAATGTCAAAAGTTATTGTTGAATATTTAATTTTTAATGAATACCATCAAAATAAAGATAAGTACATATTGTAAGAGAGATTTTTCAAAAATTGGGCCATGGGCTCTAATAAATTTAAGTTGGGAACTGAGATGGGGGAGGGCAGAAAAATTGATTTACTATTTTTTTAAATAAAAGCATTGGTGCCACCAATTATATTTTCAATAAAGATATATTTGAAAAAATGAAAAGGTTCATTATAATAAATTTGTAGTTTTAAAATCCACTCAAATTCCAATATATTCACCTACTCAGATTTTTCTCATTTAATTCAATGATAAAATCGTTAGTCTAGAATTGAAGTGCTCCACTTGACATTTTTAAGATTTTTGAGTGAAGAGTGGATTTTAATTGATTAATCTCCACTAAATAAATTAATTTAAAATAATTTTTGGCCATGTTGGACTCTGTCAATTTTGGAATATTTTTTATAAATTTTGTATATATATATATCAGAGACCTGCAGATGTACCATTTGCAAAGTACAGCCCAGATTTTTTTAATCCCGGCCCGACTTGGGTTTTATATTTTCTGGCCCAACTTGGATTTTTTTAAAATATATTACATTTAATTTTTATAGCTAAAAATGGTGATTTAAAATATTAAAATAAACATCCTAGGTTTTTAAAAAAAAAAAATTCTAGGCCAGCCCAGGTATATTATAAAAAAATTAAAAGGACCTATCTGATTTTTTATGCAAAAATTGTCCGGCCTGGCCAAAATATTTGTGTAGAGATTGCCTAACCAGTTCAATTTTTGCCTGGCCCCATCCTAGTGTTGTTAAATGGCCTGATTTATGTTTCAAAAAAAACCCAATAAAGATGTTAGCCAAAATAATATTAAGTCTCAAGATTTGGCAAATAGAGGTCCAAACCTTTCTACCATCTATGAGCTAAATCTTTAGGCTTAACTAATATTATTTTGACTAAAATTTTAATCGGGCCATTTATAAACACTATAGGACCATTTAACAATACCTAGCCCATTTTATTTTTTTCTCATCAAAAGGGCCAGACCAAACTTTTAGATCTCTTATTTACTACCTAGAAAACGATTTTAAATTCTAATTTATTTTTCATAATTTAATTATATTTTTAATAAATTAAACAAAAAAGGTTAAGGTCACAGAATTTATACAAATTAATATATTCTAATCATAAATAAATGTATTGTTTTTTAAATAAATAATTTTTTTAAAAAATGGTAATTTTTTGGGTGGGGGAGGGGATAAACAGTTTGATAGTTGTTTTCAGGGATACCCTGATACTATTTGGCTACATTATAATTTTAGATGATACAAGTGGCCAATACCCTAAAATAATAGTTAACCCTTATATAATAAAAAAAAATTGCCTATATTAAGACATAAATTATAAAAATTATACCAATTGTTCTGATAAGAAATTTACCATGTATTTTCTTTTTTAAATTTCATATAAAATTTAAATGTTTCTAAAAAATGCAATATTGATGAATTTAATCTGCTTCCTTACATATTCATATAATGCAATTTTTTGGTATTAGCATTGCTAAAAACTTTTGATCTTTGGCTGTTCTTAATTCCAAAATAAATTTTATTATTATAAGTTGAGAAGTTAATCAGATTGTGGATAGCATGATATATTCAATAGGTTTTATGGTTATGCTCAATTTTTTCCAGTAATGTGTATTCCATATTTGGTCTCATTTTAACTACAAATTATTACAATATTCCAGCATCATATAAAATCATGATAAATATATTTGTTCAAATTTAAATGTCATCACAAAATATTTTACTATATAAAAAATGGAATCTCCTTTCACGTGATGCTAATTTTCATAATATATATCAGAAATTTGCAGAGCCCAACCCAAAGCAGGCTATATTTTTTTAAAAAAGGGGCAGGTAACTTGTGTAAAATATTTTTTTGGGTCAGGAAATTTAAAAAAAATAGTCAAATTGAATTTTTTATACCTTGAATAATGCAAATTTATTATATTTCCTTTATAAAAAGTAATTAAGGGCAGTGCCTACAAAAATAGTTAGCAGAGTTATAGGAAGCAGAACTAATTCAACAAAAGTGCAAGAAATTTACATTTCATATTGTTTGCATGATTTTGATTGGAAATAAAGTTGAAAATCAGAACTAGAATTTAGAACTATCCCAAATTAAATTTAGTTTCAAAATTTTAGAAAAAAATGTCACTTTCTTATAAATATATAGAACAAAACCCCTATTGTCCAGGTTCCAAACTTTTGGGTCAGGCCATAAAAAATTTTTTTTAATCATAAGGAGTTAAGTTAGATTTGTCTTTAATATGTATTTATAAAAAAAAGAATACTAGTTGTGTAATTCAGAATTTGACACATCTAGCAACTGATAGCTAAAAGCTGCAAAAATGATTGTGGAGATGGGGGGGGGGGGAATACTATCTAGTAAATATAATAAAAAGCAATTTAAATCAACCAAAAATATATGTATTTAAATTAAATATGTGTTAAAAATTGCAATAAAAAAACTATGGACAACAGCTGATAAGGTAGTTATATATTATTGTGAATTAATTAGACTTGAAAAATAAAGGTTTGGAAGATATTCTAAAAAATGGAACACATTTTCACAAAATATTTAAAAGATGAAATCATTATAAATTATTTTAAAATAGGATTTTGAAGATATATAAAAAAAAAATTGGCAAGGATTTTTTTCGTAAAATAAAAAATCGGTGTTTGGAATTATGCATTTATTGATAATTTTAAAATTATTATATAAAAGGGTTTATATATTATATCGAATATAGTTTGAAAACAAATCCATATTCGAGTAATAAATGTATGTTTAAATTTTTAATCATATATTTAAGTTTTAATGCCAATGAATATAATAAATAGTTAATCAATTAATATATAAATTAAAAAATTTACCTTAATTATATCTAATATCTTAGCAGATAGTAATTTTGATTTTTAAAAATCCAAATTCAGATAAAAGAAAAAAGATTTTTCTGCCAAACGATAAAATATTTTTTTACGCGCAATATAAACTGCATTTGAATAACATTGTATAAAAATACGTTAGTGATGTCACGCGCATTTATATTTATTAAAACAGCGGATTTAAAAAATGTCTTCTTTGAATTTCACAAACGTCTGTTAATCATCTTGTATATTTTAAAAAATGAAAAATAATAATTTAATATAAATATTTCTTTTAATATGAAAATTATGATATAAAAAATAAACCAAAATACACCAAAAATTAATGCGCTTTGAAACCATCAGATTTATTGACTCTTAAATATAAACTAAATAATATACATGAATTCTGGTACTACTACTCATTTTCTCCCAGATCAATATAAATTTTATTTACTTTATTACAATAGTAATGCAACTATTTTACTATATTCCTGCTTAAAAAATTGTTAGAATAAAGCAAATGATTTCTCAAAGTGATAATTTTAAATTATATTTTATCAGACAAAATTATAATTTTTCATATTTTGATAAGGAGATGTCTATATTTATGTCCTGTTGGCGCAATTTGCTTTATAAAAGTGGGTGCTAAAAGCTACCAATTTATTTTTTAAAATTACCACTCAACTTCCTTTGACAAGCCTTAATCCTACTTTGCCTTGCTTTCGGCCAAGTTTAGGTTCATTGATTAATAACTTTCACATAATTAATAATATTATAAATATATTCGCTAATGAAAATAATATATAACATAATGTGGAATCTAATTCAAATACTTTCCGTTTAATCAATAAAAAAAAATGCTTAAATAAAAAAAATATATAAAAAATATTTTTATAAAGTACTATGATTTTAAAATGAACAATAAAAGTTTAGAAAAAGAAGGTACATATATATTCTCAGAAATCAGAACAAAGCAATCTTTTTTTTTTGATGTGTAGGCAACGTCTACGTGACGCATTTCGATAAAAACTCATCGGGTGTAAAAATATTGAGCGCTTTTTGGTTAGGTTATTTTCATATGTTATTTAATTTTTTTTTTAATTTTCACATCACGATTCATTAGCAAGGGATTAGATATAAACTAAAAAAATTATTGAGTCGATTTAGCGGTAGAATTACATTTTAATTTTGTTTTTAATGTATATTACTAGTATTTTTTAGCATTCATTTAAGAAGCACAAACAAGTAGGCTAAAATTTTCCATTCTTCATCAAATTATTTTGGCCCAGTATTGTATTATAAATATTAGATAGACAGAATATAAAATAGGTTTAATTTATTATAATCATATGAAGTGTTTTGGATGTTTAAAAAAATAATTTTAATGTTTAACATAAAATAAAATTAAAATAAATTAAAATAATAAATGATAGGTTCGGTTTTAAAGCTGTATGAATTGAGAATACAACAGAACAACTAGTTTAACTATGCAAACCTGAAGATGAGATGTAATAAAAATGTCATTATTATATATATTTAAGTATATACACTCTAGTTCCACTCTCCATCAGCATTTCTCCTTCATCACAATTCCCACAATACAATAATGCTATCACTAATGATATAGATCAACCCTGAAACCATTTTTTGCAATCAAAGCTTTTATATCATGATCACATATAATAAACTGATTTGAAGATAGAAAATGAAAATTATAGAAATATTCCAGATAGAAAAATTTTAATTTATCAGTAAATAGATTATATAATTAATGGCATTTGTCAGCAAAAATTTCATCACATCCTACTTATATGAATTTTGAATTTTAATTTACAGAACAATACATAGATTTATCCATAAACACATCTGTGATTTTTAACAATAATGATATTCACCTTCACCCTAAATATGATAAAAATTCCTAATCATGAGCCTACCCGACCTCAGCACAGCACTTACCAAATGCAACTGCCTATTATGTAATAAACTTATTAAATAACCAATTTGGGGCTATTGTTATCTCATACTAACCAAAAAATAAAGTGTCCTCAGTCTGGGCTACCCATCTTATCACCAGCAATTCCTAGAACCCTTAATGCCTTCTCTGCCCTCACAACTAAACAACCCACATCATTGGCTGATGTGCTCACTAGCCCAATAATTTCTACCTTCGCTGTCACAAATGCTTCGACGTTTGACCCAGCCGACTCAAATGTAGAAATATTTCTAACGACACCAAAACCATTTGTAATTTCACGAATACTTAAAGGAGCAAAGCTTCAAGTTACGAGACACCTGTCAAAAAACTTGACTTCCTTGTTAAATAATTATTCTTCTGTAAAACACTGGCTAGACACCCTGTTATTTGCCTTTACTACATAACAAGTTCCTGATCCTGCCAGCAAAAAATCCCTGATCCAACAAATTAAGGATGCTACTATCTACCCCTTACCCATCAATCACATTACCACATCTTTTACGAGTGATGACACAGATAAAAATATAAATCACAAAAATGACCTGCTCTCCAAAAACAGGCTAATATCTAAAAAATTGGATAACCTGAATGTTAAATCCGCCATACGTCTGGCAACCTCCGACAATAAGCTGGCTGCCTACGATTTATTAACTTATCAGGCCCTCCTAAAACACCACTCAGACGATTTTAAAAATGAAATATCGACTTACCCTAACCGCAAGCGACGTTAGAAAGGCTATTCTCTCCTTCAAACGCGATTCCTCACCTGGGTTCGATGGGTTTCGCCCAATATTCTTACAAGACCTAACCGCACCTTACATAACAAACAATGTGATGTTCTAGAAAAAATTACCCCATTAATCAACTGTATGCTTACTGGAGGCATACCACCCGCCATTATTCCACTGCTATACGGAGCTAAACTCATCGCTCTCCATAAACCCAATAAATATATTCGCCCAATCGCTATTGGAACCACGTGGCACCGATTAACTGCCATACTAGTAGTTAGCAGATTATTGTTAACAATTTCCAATCACCTTTGTACGAATCAATTAGGGATCAACGTAAAAGGTGGATGTGAGGTATCCCTTCACATGACCCGGATGTATCTACAAACGGATCCCACCAACGATATCCTAGTCAAAATAGACTTCTCGAACGCTTTTAAATCTCTTAGGCGTAGCTTTTCTAAATCCTATCCTCACCCTCTACCCAGAATATTCACAATTTATCTTCGATTGTTATGCTAATCCCTCATCGACGATGATATACTAGGCGGCCCACCAGAGTCTACATGACAGGATTTTCACTGGATGCAAACCCTTCAAAAACCTTTGCCTACCCTCCTAAAAAATTCCCACCTACTTCGGCGGCGGTGTCTCTTTATTATTGTTTTCACCTTTATAATTATATTAATACTCTTTTCAGAGAATTTATAAGGATAACTTAAATTAATCTATCTCTACTACCAACTATCGATATTTTGGGAATATAAAGAATTTATTTTTTAGATAATAAATTCAAAACCTCCATTATTTACAATGAAGTAATTATTATGGCATTATGAGCTTGCTGATATATCTAAACCTTTTAAATTAAAAATGATAGCAGAAAGTTTTATTTGGAAAACAATGTATATGATTGTTTGCAATATATAGATTTGGTCGATAATTGTATTATAATATTTCTATAATAAAACTATTAATTTTTACAGCAATAAATTAAAATTTAATAGATAACCCCAAAAAATTTATCCTACCCCAATTAAAGCAGCCTACCCCCTCAAAAAAATAGGATGCAAACTGTTCCTACCCCTCCCGCTCATGTAGACGCTGCGGCCCACCGACTGAAGTTATGAAGGCAATCCAAATAATAAAATCCAGCGAGAAAAGTTTGGGACTTCGAGTTAATAAGACAAAAGCGAATATTGTCCTCTTGGGATCATTGACCTTAACCACAATACTATGTTCAATCATACACCATTGAACACCTTAACACATCTCGGATCTCCAGTAGGTAAAGACGAGTCCTTTATCAAGTTCTTTGCCAATATTCTACGAGAGATATCCCTTATGCGCGATGCACTATCTCGCCTCCCAGCTCACCAAGCTTTCTTCTTATTAAAGAACTAGCTTTTAATTCCAAGAATTTTATATACACTCCAAGCGTCACGGATATTTCAATATGACGTCAACCTCGCTTCACATGAACTGGAGATTAAACGCCTAACAGTAGATATACTCAATCTTAAATTTGGGGAATTATCATGGCTACAGGCTACCTTACCAACCAAATCCGGTGGCATTGTTATAAGGTCACCTTCCCTACTTTCTGTTAGTGCGTTCATATCCTCTCGCTTATCCTGCGAGCTCATCATTTAAACACTAACAAAACATCCTCACCCCTTACTCCTACAGGCAATTGATCTATGTAAGTCCCTCTCATTAGTCGATCCTCCATCGTCAGCATTACAGAAGGATTGTGATAAACCTCTAGTTGGCAACTTCGTTGCATTCCTTAAATCGAGGAGCCAACCAGAGAACCATTCTCTACTCTTCTCCATTTCCGAAGGTAGTGGATACGTTTTCTTGAGGCCTTTCTATCCCAAAACCTTGACCAGCTCCTAAGCAATGATGAGATACGTCACGCTATCGTGAATTGAGATATGGTAATACCTTATAACTGTATCCTCTGTTAAATGTCCGTCAACTCCAAAGGCCGCCACTCTCTACACTGCAAGCGCTGTATGGGCAGATTCATTAGGCATTCAAAATTCAATGATACCATTGCCAGGTTAAAATCCGCCGGCATCCCATTAACCCTCGAACCTATTGGCCTTTACAATTCCGATGGTAAGCGGCCCGATGGTTCGACTATGATCCCTTGGAAGAGGGGGAAATTTCTAACTTGGGATTTTGCATCGATCCTCTTACCCCTTCCAGTATAAATAGAGATAGCATACTAGATGACGAGGAGAATAAACTAGCTAAATATTCGCCTCTTCCCGCCAATTATACATTCCTACCATTAATCGCCACTATTTTAACGTCATTCGGCTATCATGCCCTAGACTTCTTTAAAGAGCTAGGAAAACAGATCTCTGCTAGGACCAAGGATCCCAACGAGGGATTATACATACGCCAACGATTAGCCATAAACATAGTAAAATACAATTATTTCAGCTTTAATTTTTCAATATCCGAAACCCCGTAATTGAACATCCTATGCATAGTTTAGACTTTGGCCATTTTGTTGCCTATTATAATGTTAGCGCTAAAAGGGAACTTGAATCTCAATCAAAAAAAAATAGCAAGAATTAATGACTTTATATAATTGTAATTTACTAATATTATATTTTTTACTATTATTATAACTTACCTTGATATAAATTGTCGATATAACGAAATTATAACAAATGGACATTATATGAAAGTTAAATATCTATTAATTAGTATAATAAAAAATAAAATTGTCAATAGATTATATATTGTCACAGATAATATAATATTTTATAAATATAATATATTAAATAATAATTATTATATAAATTTATTAATGTGATTGATTTTATATAATACATTTCAATTTTAATATAATATCAGACCTAAATAAATATCTTGCAAAATTTATTAAACAAATAAACAATGCAAAATATGCAGAGTTGTTAAAGTATCTAGATACAAGTATCTAGATACTGTATTTAGATATAAAAATGTAGTATCTGTATCTAGATAGATTTTTTAGAAAGATATCTGTATCTGTATCTAGATATTATTTTAGAGGTATCTGTATCTGTTTTTAGATACTTTTTCAGATACATTTTATATACCCCTTTTTTTATTATAAATAAAAATATTTGACTGTAAAATTTATTTTATTTCATATGAGCTTATGAAATAAATAAATATATATATATATTATATATTAATATTTATTAATATTATAATAAAGAATTATATATACATAAAATATTAAAACTTATATATAAAAAATATATATAAATATTCATTAATTTAAATATTATGTCCGAGTTTATCAATAAACCATACAAATTTTAATATTACAATATGGAAATGGTAAATTTTATTTTATAACTAAATTTTTAAGTTTATATATTTATTTAGATCTATATCGATGAAGAAGAGGAAGCAACAACAAGTTCTATTGCTTTACCATGGCCAATTTATAGAGAATATTTTAAAATAATATCTCAAAACAAAGAAAACAATTCTCTGATGGTAAAATGTTTGCCGTGTCTACCTAAAAATACAAAAATATCCGTCAGTAAGACTTCAACGTGCAATATCTTGAAGCACATAAGGGTATAGATATTATATATTTAAAATTCTAATTTAAATTTTAAGAGAAAACATCCAACCTTGTTAACAAAAATAAAAAAGGGGAAGGAAAATAAAACTACCAAAGAAAATACTGGACAAGGCTCATCCTCCATCAATATTTTTGCTAAAAGACCTTTGACTTTAACTCAAGGCACTTTAGATGATTTAATTATTACTTTTATTATAGATGGCATGCAGCCATTTTCAATTGTTGAAAATCCTTCTTTTAAAAAAATGATCAACACTTTGGCTCCACACAAAAATATAATTTGCCGACAGACAGTTGTTGGTAGAATTTCCCAAAGATGGGAAAATGAAAAGAAAGAAATAATTAAAAGTCTTATAGAACCATCATTAATATGCACAACAGCAGATTGTTGGAGTACCTATCGCCGGTATAGTTAACATTTCAATTTGTATAATAATTAATTAAGAATAATTAATTCAGCAATTTTAATTTCTAGTTCATATATAGGAGTAACCGCTCATTATATAAATCCAATAAGTTTGGAAAGAAAAAATGTAGCGTTGGCTTGTAAAAGAATGACTGGTAGTCATACATATGACAAAATAGCAAAAAATTTACAAGATATAGCTAAGGATTATTGCATTCAAAATAAAATTTCAAAGACCATTACAGATAATGCCAAAAATTTTAAAAAATGTTTTAGGTTTATTTTATTATAAATAAATATAAACATAATATATGATTGATTACTTAATTTATTAAAGAGTTTTCAAGCCAATTGAAAATAATACAAGTGAATCAATTGATGATCTGGAAGATGAAGCAGTTGTGCTAATTTCTATATCAAATCTTTATAATACTGCACAGGATTCTGAATTATCAGAATCATTTAGTTTACCTCATCACCATTGTTGTGCCAGTCAAACGTTGAATCTTATAGCCACTGTGGATGACAATAGAGCCATGCAGTGTAAACAATATCAGAGGGTAAAACTAATTTTAATTAAATAAGTAATATTTTCTTCATTAGATATATAGCACAACACTACTTAAATGCCAAAATATATGGAATAGGCAAAATAAGTCTCCTATTTCATCTGAGATTATTAAGGAATATATTGGTCGTTATTTTATATGTCCTAATATAACTAGATGGAACTCCACCTATAATGCCTTACAATTAATGTCAGAAATTATAAGATAAATCTGACAAAGTAGACAAGATATGTGATGGAATAAAACTACCTAGGTTTTTACCTAATGAATGTGATTTTATTCATGAATATTGTTTAGTAAGTTATAAATAATATTTATATATATCATTATTTTAAATTAGCTAATGAAGCCAATAGCTAATTCCCTTGATATTTTGCAGGGAGATAAGTATATGTACACAGCTTATTACTGTGCAACTATTTCACAACTTATTATCAAATTAAAGAATTTTAAAGAAATGAACCTGAGATTCTGTTTACCACTCTTAGATGCCTTACTTAAAGGGATTGAGGATAGGTAAATTAATATAATAAATTAAAAATATTTAATAATTCTAGGTTTATTGTGACCTTATTTGAAGATGATAATATTATAACAACCATGCTCCACCCTTTTTTTAAACTTGATTGGACATGGTTGCAAATGGAAGAAAATCTTAATAAAAGAAAACAATTAATACAAAGATTAGCTGGTGAATTATCAAAGTCATCAACTGACTGCAAGCAAATAACCTGCCAAAAAAAACAAATAATTTAATTTCAGATTTTTTTCAGTACCCTACAGCAGATATAATTTCTAATAATGATTTAATTTTTGATAATCAACAAATTTTAAATAATTTTTTCAAAAATGAATGTAGAGATTTTACCATTTTTAAAGAATACCCTGATATAAAATTGTTATTTATTAAATATAACACTACAATTCCTTCAAGTGCCCCTGTGGAAAGACTATTTAGTGTTGCTAAAAATGTCTTTACAGATAAACGAGGATGCCTAAATGATCAAAATTTTGAAAATGTTTTATTACTGAAATCTAATAATTATTTAATCATATATTATCATATATTATATTAAAATCATTATTTTAGTTATATTCTGATAAATGTAATATCGCGTCAATAAATTTTTTAGCTCATTTCATGAATTTTCACAATATAATATTAATTTAGGTTTATGCAAACCTATAAGAGCATAATAAAAAATGTATCTGTATCTTGATAACTTTTTAGACACTGTATCTGTATCTAGATAACTTTTGAGACTATGTATCTGTATCTATATCCATTTAAAAAGTATCTTTTAACAACTCTGAAAATATGATAAAAAAATAAATATAAAAAATTTAATAAACTATAATGAAATGTAAGTTTTTTCCATAAAATTCAATAACTTTGACAAATTTAACAAGTATAATAAAACATGCATGAGAAGTTACAAATTAGGTGATATTATATTACAATTAAAACAAAATATATAGGTGAATGAGCTAATAAGGCAATAGAAATTTGATTTTATGACTTGGTTTGCAAGTCTTTGATAAAGATAAAATCCATCTTTAGGATTTTCTGTTTTGACTGAAATTTGTCTACCCAATTTTTTGATTAGGTCTTGAGCTTTAATATCAAAAATGGTCTTTATGACTGGTGATGTTCACGTATTAATCATAATTCAATTTTTCTGTAGCCACTCAATCTTTGTTAAGGTTTGATGGAACCTTATTTTAATAATATAAATCTAGAATAAAAATTTAAGAAGATATATATTTCATATCTTGTCTATTATATAAATGATGATTATGTTATTGAGATCGATTTAAAGGATTTTAATAAACTAAACCTATTTTATGTAAAATGAAAGACGATTAATTAAAATAAATGATGTGTATTCTTATCTATATTTTCATCATTATTTCATTTTGATATAAAAATATTCAAAGGAAATTTTTCTATCTAATATTTATGCAACATTTAGGCTAAATAATTCTCAAGATCTTTTATCATATATGTCTAAATTAAAATAATGAAGAATGGAAAATAATACCCTTCTTGTTCCTTGAATTAATATTAAAAAAAATGCTAATAATTTACATTAAAAACAAAATTAAAATGCAATTTTATTAATTTATCTCAAATATTTTATTTATTTCTAAATCCTTTTAAATAAATTTCAATTTTTAAAAAAAAACATATGAAAATAACCTAACAAAAAGTGCTCACATTTCTCAATAAGATGAGCTTTTGTCCTGCCTATATGATAGGATATTCATTGATCCCCCATCCCCTCCGCAAATTTTTTTACTCCCTTCATAAATTTAAAAAAGAATAACTTAAGTAACTGATTAAATTACTATAAAATATCAAAATATTGTAAATGTAAAGGAGTTATTTCTTTTAACATTCAATTAAAACCCCCTTCATTTACAATTAATGTATTATTATACTATATTGATTGGCATGAATATGAGTGTGCTAATAGAATGTCTAACCCTTTATTATTTTTGAATTACATTTAAAAATATAGCAGATAATTATTCAGAAATAGTTTTATTTGGAAAATAATGTCTATGATTGAATGTAATATAGAGATTTGATAGATATTTAGAAACATCATTGTATTATAGTAGGTCTATAATAAGAATATTCAATTTTACAATATATACCTATTTCATCAAAAAATGTAATAGATAACTCTCAATAAATATTTTGCACCCCTAGCTTATCCACCTTAAATACATACTCCCTATTAAAGGGAAACAAACTGTCACTACCCACCCTGTTCACGTATAAGCGTAGTGCAGAATCATGTAATTAAATAATCATTTCCAAATAATTATTTACTATTTTTCATGGGTTAAGATATATTTTGATTATTTTTCATCATTTGTTATTAAAATAATTTAATGCCATAAGAAATTTTTTTTAACAAAGGTATTTAAATAAACTGTTTATAGAGGTGCATTTAAAAAATAATGAGTGCTAATCCAATTTTAAGATCGGTTAATTTTGAAAAAGAGGACATTTTAGCATTCAGAATATCACTAAAACCTCGACAGTAGATTTTTAAATTTACAAGAAAAAATTTAAAATTATTTATAAAAATTTTAATACCAAATTACGGCATATTTGTCAGATATTTAGTTTGAGTACTCTATACACCATGCTGGAATACATTTCTGAAACGAAATTTTTAAATCGCCTTTAGTAAGGGATTTAAATTAGATTTATTCCAAATCCACTCTTATTTATATCTATTGCATTGATTACTTCGATCATAGATGTTCGCAAATGCTTAAATTGAATAATCTAGAGTATATTACATTACATAGTAAAATAAATTAAATTATATCATATGCTTTGCCAAAATATATAACAAAATTGTCCTGTTTTCCATTCACTAGAATCTGCTAACTTTATTCATGGTAAAAACTATAAATAATGGTACATTCTAAAACAGAAAAATATAATACTTGGTGGTATTCATAGCCTACAAAAGGTGAGAGAATAAAAATTTTTTACCTACTCTTCCTTTAAGGAATTCTGGACATAAATACTAGTGCAAAATCACACGAATAAATATTTCCCGATAATAGTGCAGTACAAAAATATCCTTTGCAAATAATTACCGCACAAAAAACATCGAATAAAAATACCCCATTTATATTTTCAAGTGCTTAGAAAGAGACAATTTTTTCTAAAAAAATTTTATTCTACACTTATTCTATTATCTGAAGTGATAAATTTATGATAACGTGATACAAATCTTAAAATATTACTCATTTTATTACTCAATTAACTTAATTTTCACTATTAAGATTTATATAATTTCACTATGAATATTTATATTTATTCATTATTTCAGATATATCAGTTTATCACAGTAATTTAATCCAAATATCAACTTTTAGTACAAAATAAAAATTATTTCACAATAAATTTTTATAAATCAATTAATGGCGAATCAATTTTTTTCCTTTTAAATTATCCCTCCGCGATTAAAATCAACAAAAATAATAACTGTTTTTTAATCAATATCTATAATTTTTCTAAAATATAAAATTATTCAACTGATTGACATTTATCAATCATTTAAAAATAATATCTTAAATATATATGAAATAAACGAAATATATATGAAATATACATCACTTAGCATATTAAATACACAATCCCCTCATAGTATATGACTACATTTTGTTAATTTTTTATACATAAATCTTACCACACCTATGGAAACCCTCTTAACTTTACGCTTAACCTCCTTAAAGGTTTTTTAAACAAATGTAAACAATAATTTTTCTTTTGATATAGAATTTAACACCTCCTAATCTTTAGCGTTTATGACCAAATTATTCAAATTATTTATGAACCCTAACCCGTATGTTAAAGAATTTATATGTTTTTGACATTTTTATAATCTCTCAAACCATTCTCATCCTTATAAACCTGCTCAAAAAATTTTTGAAAATAAGAGATTCGACTTGAAAAAAATAGCTCTACAATTTTAAATGTTTTATTGTTAAATGACTCGATTTAGCTGACTTTGTATTTCGCCAAAATAATATTAGGCAAACCTCAAGATTTATTTAAATATCAAAATATTTTTGTCATATATGAGCAGAAATCTCCAGACTGGCAAAAATAAATTTTGGTTAAAATATTGGGTCAGCCGTTTTTAAAAATCGAGTTGCTTAATAACACTATCTAAATAATCCCTGATTCACAATCTAATTCCATATCTACTGTCATGATTGATGTTTTAATAAATTTTGAATATAGTCGTCGGAATTATTCTCACAATTGTCTGTTTCCTATCTAGCCACATATGGCCCCCTGAGCCTATATTGTTATTCATGGAATAAAAAAAATAGAGGAATTGCTAATAATTTTAGATTGATTTCTAATATATATTTTGTTACTTAGGCTAATTTGTTGGGTATCGGTATGTATCTTAGCGTCTACGGGTGGAGTGGAAGTCGCGTTTAACGTTTTGGTGATTATTTTGATGATTGTTGACTAATATGATGTCAATAAATAATTAATAAATACTTTATTGTTAGCGGGGATAACTTTTATGATTATGATTTGATATTAATTTTTGCACACTAATATTATATCCAAAAGACTTGTTTGAAGCAATCCTAATTGAAACAGGAACCAATATGCATACGGGAGAATATATATATATCTAGAATTCATTAAAGTAATTGGAAATAGGAAACACAAAAATTAACATTATAATAAATAATGCAAGTAATGAAAAAAGCCTGAAATTTGTGATGATTAAATATCCAATTCAAATTATTAAATGCATTAGGTTTACATCTCATAGAATGAATTTGTTTTTAAGGAACTAGCAAATAAAATATTGCCAATTTAATAGTCAAAAGACCAAATTATCATAAAATATGTAAAATTCAACATTATTTTATACACCTAAGGAAAAACAACTACTTAAAGATAAAAATAGGACTGTTTCCTTAAAGTTGCCTAGCCTACACAACTCTTCGGATATGTAAGATATTTTGGGCAATACTCCATATTTTTATAGTGTTATGAGACTTAATCTTCTTGCCAATAAAGGTTTTAAAGTCATTTCTATACAAATAGAGGAAGTCGAAGAGTAGAAATCTAACTTATCAGATGTTCCTCAAGTATTTAATTATATCAGGGAAATCATTTAAGGGCCAAATTATAGAGATCGAACAATTATAAAAAAATAGAAAATTTTTTATTTCCGGGACATAAATAATCCTGCTTATATATTTAACCTTAGATATTGTGGATTTAATTTTAAAGACAATGTTGTTATCGATAAATGATTAGATTTTATAAACCGATTTTTTGGATACCTAAATTTAAATGTTGCGAGGCAAATGATCATTTGGTCGAGAGATCTGGAATCGTTTCAAATCATGTTAACTTAAATAATTGAAATTATATTATATTTTTTAAATATCATCTTAATATTTTATAAATTTTTGTAATAGGGATGTAAATTTCCCAGTAAACTATATTTCGGGGAAATTTGGGGGAAAAACGGGAAACTATCTTTTTTATAATATTTTACAGGTAAATATTATTTTTTTTTCATGTTTTATTGAAAATATATAGATTATAAACATTACAATTAAACAAATATGATTTAATTTCAACTAATTTGTGATTTCTTTACATGTTTTATTTTAATATAGACTTTAAACAAATATGATTTAATTTTGATTAATATGTTAGTTATCTTCGTTTGAAGAAGAAAATAATTCAAGATCAGAGCTTGAAATTCTAGAATCCAGCAATTTGTCATTTGCAGAAATATCTTTTCTTATAAAATAGAGATTGGCTCTTATAAAAACTAATTTTCGGACCTTACTATTTTTTTTTATCCTATTTCTAGATTTCGAATGAATATTTTCAAAGGAGGAGCAGGAGCATATTATTTCGGAAGCTGGTCGGTGGCACTGATAAAATCAGAGATTTTTATAAAATTTTATACTTGCATTAGAACATTTAAAATCGTTATCGAGAAGAGTAAGTCTCTTATCTCGATCAGTAAATATATCAAGATTGCAATTTCCTGAAGAATATCTTTATTTTTTTAATAAGCTATTAATCATCAAAACTATACCTGCCCAACGAGTTGGGCTAGTCAGCTTTAGGGAAACAATTTTATTATTATTTCTTAGGGTGTTGTTTTTCTTTTAAGGTTGATATAAAAATATTGTTAGATTTTACATATTTGATAATATTTTTAGCGTTTGTGACTAAAATTTGAATCGATAATATCTTATTTGCTATATCCTTTAGAAATAGATTTAATCCATGCACTTTGATATGTATTCCCCTGTATGCATGTTTGTTTTTTTGTCAATAGATTTATAGCAAATGGGACAAGGGGTTGCCAGAATAAAGTTGATAATGCATTCCTCTCTTAAATTTGTCCACTAATGAGAGTCAAATTTTTGCTTTTGTCTAATTTTTTATTTACTATATATTCGACCCCAGGCTTGTTAATCGATCTTTTAAAAAAGATCGAATCCCGATCACGATATTTAAAAAAAAGAGAATCGGAATCCAGGATATACCTTTTCTTATTTAAATTTCTGAAGGAAATATTTTCCAAATGGGCTATTAACCTTTTTTTTACCAACAGATTTTGTGGCAGGTTATATAGGGCCAATTTAGCTAAAATTTTTGGTGAATTATTGTTACATATGTTACTGTCATCATACAGTGAAGGAAATCTATATTAAGAAATGATAATTTATTTATTATACATCAATAGTAGATGTATTATCTTCTAAATCTATAATGGAGACATTATTAAAACCCAGAATTTATTTATATTTTTATTATACCAATTATCTTTGGGGCTCAACTAATTGCTCTTGAAAAAGCTGAAAATCAAGTGCGCCCAATAGCTATTGGAATTCTCTACCGACTAATTCAAAAATTATTTGTAATCGACTCAAATCTACGATAACCTTAAGCCTAGCTCCTTACCAAGTGGGATTTGGAGTAAAAGGAGGCTGTCGCAATTCATTGCAGTCGACTAATTTTATCCAACCTGAAGATTATATAGCAAAACTAGACATATCCAATGCCTTTAATTATTAATAGGAATAAAATGATCGATACTTTCTTGGAAACATTCCCGTACTACCACAATTACATCCATCTTAGCTATTGCATTCCTTCCTTACTCAAATTTAATGATTATATTATTAATTCTGCAGAAGGCCTCTAACACGGTGACCAATTAGGATCACTACTTTTTTGCTATCCCTTAAACACCTAATAAGTGATATTGCTCTTTCATGCAAACTCAATCTACACGTTTGGTGCCTTGACGATTGTACTATATCGGGGACCATTTCTTCAATCCAGAATTGTCTAGATATAATCAACAAATACTTTGATGAAGTTAATTTATCCTTAAATATAAAGTAATGAGAAATTTATCCTTCTCCGCCTCCAACCACTATATTAGATAACTTTAGACGGAAACCCTTACAAGATTTTAGTATATTAGAAGCCCCATTGGGAGTTGCAGAGGGAATTTTTAATTTTTTAAATCACCTTAAAATCACAATTCCCCAAACTATCGATCTTAGAAAAATTACCCATCCATCAAGCATATTACATTCTCAAAAACGCCCTTTTAATACCACAAATCCAGTATTGTTTAAATACTTCTGGTGCCTTCTCTTTTGAAATTCTTTTAAAAGAATATGAACAAAAGATACTACAAATGATGACAGTTATTAAACATCAAACTCGATTCTAGCTCATGGCTTCAAGCAACTCTCCCTTCTAAATCCGGAGGACTAGGGCTAAGATCGGCATTAAGTATAGCCCATGTTTCCTTCATCTCATCAACCTTATCAGTAAAAAATATTACCTCGTAAATTATTACCATCGATAAAGATAATTTATTAGATGAAGCCTTACGTTGTTGGAATATTAATGTCTTACCAAACACAGCCCCACCAGATTCAACGAAACAAAAAGATTGGGATCAAGGATTGGTATCTCGTTCCTTAGCTTACCTCAATTTGAGCGATGATCACCAATATAAATCCTTCCTAAGATCTCTTAATTTCAACAACTCTGGCCATGAATGGTTAGATTCATATCCCAGCATTTTAAATAACCAGCTAATAGATAACGACGCTTTTCGTTATGCAATCAATTTACGCTTGGGCGTACCTTTCCTAAACTATTATATTTGCATTAAATGCAATCAATCGGCAGACGCGTATGGGAGACACGTTCTCCACTGTAAATTTATATCAAAAATCAGCTTACATGATAAAATATATGCAATAGTAGCTTCTTTTTTAAATAAAGACAATTTTCCCCGTAGTTTAGATAGAACCTACATCCTTTTTAGATAAAAACGCCCTGATGGCAAAACCGTCTTACCTTTTTTCATGGGAAAGTCTTTAATGTGGGATTTTACCTGCATTGATCCCATGGCTCCATCTAATAATTCCCATGATCTCCTTAACAGAGCCGAATCTCTAAAAAATATAAAATAGTCTCACCTAATGTGTGATAACTGCTTCGGCTTTAGATCTATTCAAAATAATTTCCAAATCAATAATAAAATCAAACCTTTCTCCATTTTACAAACTCAAGTAGAAAATCGCCGTATCTATAATTAGATCTAATTAGCAAATATTTAAAACATCATGGCCCAACCTCGCCATTTGATATTTTTTTCTTCTTTAAATGTTTTTCTTTTTATAAAAATATACATTTGTATCAATCTTTCTTTTTTTTAACTTAAACTGATATATGACATATTTTATTATATTCTCTATATTATAATGTTAATTTTTAAATAATAATATTTTATCATATTTGTATATGAATTTTAATAAAAAATTGAATTAAAAAAATATAATTAAATAAATAAAACTTTTAGGCTCTAAATTTTGTTCTAGATAAAATTGAGAAAATGTTTAAATATAAAGTATGGTGGAATGGTTGTTGATAAAATAGGATGTAGATATATATATTTTTTAAAAATAATATTTTAATTTAATTTTCAAAATTTTTATTATATTTAAAAATGATCTCGATCACGATCTTCAATTTAAGTCAAGACCATAAATCTGGGAAAATTGACAAATTTAGGATCGAATCCAGGATCGGCGATCTTTTGATTCGATCCTTTTAAATATACTGTCTAATAATTTTTTGCCTAGTAAATATCTGGAAGGTATTTTAAAAGCAGGTCTTAAGGATTAAAATAGTTTTTTCCAATACAAATTGGGTTATTGAAAATGAATAATTTGATATAAAGATGGTTTGTGCAAATTCAATATCCAGTTTATATTGTTCTTCAGTTGTTATATTATCAATGTATTTCATTAAATTATTTAGTTTGAAAGGTTAAGATTTTTCTGAAATGATTTCATTTTTGTTTATATTATCATTTTATTAGAATTAATATTGGAATATGTAGTTGGTCTATCACTGAAATCAGTAACATTATTATTTGATGGGGTTATGACTTGAACTTCTATTGGATCTATATTATTGTTAATTATATTATTACTTAATGTTCTAAGATATCTATTGAATTTAGAAATATGTATTGTCATCTTTGTTGAGTTGGGAATGCTGTATTCTAAATTGCAGTATTTGCAAACTGCAATACATCCCATCTTATTCTGAGCTTTGTGTTTATAAAAATAGGACCAACCATCTAGACATCTATAAGATCAAACATGAGCCATTTAAAAACTTTAATATAGTATGTATGTTGTGTATATTGTTTTGATGACTATAATAACATTAATAAAAACTATTTTATCATAAGATCATTTTTAAAATTGGGAAAATGTTAATATTATAAAATGTTGATTTAAGCAAAAAACATATTATAAAAATTGGGGAAACCATAGGGGAAATTTTATTTTTTTTTACCTCCTTTACATCCCTAGATGTAACATTTTTTAAAAAAAAATTATATTGACCTGTAAAATTATTTTTTAAAGGAAATTTCCTTTTTCTCTGTTTTCTCATTATTTCCCTAAATTTCCCGGGAAATCACCCTTAATTATAGTTTCCTGGGAAATTTACATTCCTACTATCAATACGTCTTTTTATATTATTATAATCCGATTGCATAATGCAATGTCCTCACTATTTACTGTCAAAATTGTGATGAAAATGCCAACAAGAAAGAAACAGGACTTTCATAAAAAATTTAATCTAAGATATATATATGATTGTCTAGAATGGGGCTGAGAAAGAAGAATCTATAAGTTATAGTATAAAATAATTTCCCAGAATTTATTAATTTCATAACCAATAAAATAAGTATATAGGTTTTTTGTATTAGGCTATAAAAATAAATTTTATTTTTGTATTGAAATTAGATTACAGGAATTTAAACAGAATATAGGGAAAATTTATCTATATAATTAGATTCAAGCAAAATAATTATTCTTTAAAAAATGGCATTAAACTTTGAAAGATTAGTATCATTTAATTCCATATTTTAAAAACAAACATGTAAAATATCTTTGCTCTGTATAAATAATCGTTCATTATAATATTTGTGTCAATATACCAAAATTTATTTCCCCTAAAAAGAATAAATTACAATTTTATATTATTGACCATGGTTACAAAAGTAGAATTTAAGATATTCAAAAATTGAATAAGGTCTAATTTATATTAGGGAAATTTAAGAAAAAGATTGTTAGATATATTTACAATCAAAATCGATAGCATATCTAAGGGCTAATGAAAATTGAGTTATTCTCATTTTTTTTCCTAATGTTTTTCCAACATAAAAATTGATAATTACATATGTTATAGCAATGAAAGGTATATCTAATTTTATATTAAAAGTGTTTATACAATTAAACTAAAAATCTTGATAGAAAATATTTTCCTTAAAGAGTTAAAGAAACTTTTTTTTGAAATATTAAGAGACAATTTTTTTTGAAAATTTTTTTAAAATAAATTTTGGTTTCGTTATATTTTGTAAAAATATATTGACACGACTCTAGCTGATGCAACCATTATTTACTTTTGTTACAAATAGTATTAGTTAAAAATATTTTTTTAAATAATTTTTTTCTCACTATATTGAATTCAAGAAATATGTGGGAATTTAATTTTTTTAAATATTATTATAATCAATATATTACTTTATCAATTAGAATTTATTTTAAATAAAATTTTATACACCTTTATATTCTATATCCACATTTGATCATATTTTTATATGTATTTCCTTTATTTTGGTATTTTATCTTTTCATGTTTTGATTAAAATTTCGTTTTTTTATTACCTTTTTTAACTGTTTTTTTTTAAAAAAAGGCTTCCAATTATAAATTTTACCACAGTAGAATTTTGTCCAAATTTTGAGGTACCTATAATTTTAATTCTATAAATTCTGATTTGAGCAATAAGACTAAATTGATCATCACATATTTGATGCCAAATATAATCAAGCATAATTTATTTCTGGTAAGTTTCTCAACACTTGGATTTCATTCAGAGAATAAGTTTAATTCCACCTAATTTTGGCTTACCATTTTCTTTTAAGTGCCTGCAATTTACTGCTAAACTTGCTATTATCATTACAATTAATAAACCTCAGGGACAAACATTAAAAAAGTTGGTACCAGCCTGTAAATTTTTCATGGACAGTTATATGTAGCTATATATAACTCGAGTTTATTCTCCTCATAATCAAAAGAATAGGATCACTAAAAGAAACATGGTGTATAGTGAATTATATTCGATTGTATCAGCTACGATATATTCAAATATGATCTGACAAAGGGATATTAAATGTTAATGAATTTTTATTATATAATAAGATTTAATATCTATTAGTAAGGATCAGATCCAATTGTTTCTCCCGAAAAATATTCGCTTCTACTCATCATGAATAACCTCTGATTATTTAGTTAAACTGACACAATAAACTATTTTTATTATTTAAATAAAATTCTATATCATACTTAAGTATTTGTCTCACCATAATTCCTCTATACAATGTGTCTCAATTGAACTAGTACACTTTCTGTACAATAAATCTGTCAGTTAAAAATATAATACTATAAAGTTTTAGACTGAGAAAGGGATATATTACCAATGTCTTCTATAAATTTTATCATCAGATTCGATAAACAGGGTTCAAAGTTATACATAATAAAAGTTATAAAGAAATTCTACCTATTCCATTAATTTTTTATTGAACTTTACAATTCAAAAAAACATAAAAACCTCATATTAATTTGAGTCAAATGCTGTTCTTGAAAGTTATATTCAAAATGCCCGCGATGAGCTCAAATACATGTTCCAAGACAAGTTCGCCATTCACTGGTTTTACGGTTAGCAATTCCTTAGTCAAAACAATTTTATTCCTCCACAAGGGGCCATTTAAGATGGTCAACGTCGCATATGCAGGTTTGATAAATACGTTCTTGAAGGAACTCCATATCATGACTGGATTAAAATCATAGCTATTGATGGGGTGGGGGGGGGGGTAAATAGTGGGTTAAATATAATCTGGAGTTTCTCTAAAAAATAGATCTACAGTTTCTTTGGCTCGGTGAGCTGAATCACTCTCCTGTTGGAATATAAAAAATTTAATGCCTGGCAATTTTTTAATAGCAGGAAATAAGTGCTCACCGAGTAAATTGTCACGATAGTATACAACATTAATCTTAACCACTGGATCGATAAGGATGAGATCTGTGCAACCAAGACTTAATGCCCCAACGAAATCATGAGGGATTTATAGAAATTTCAAATTGTATAAAGCAATAGATTGACTGCAGCTTGTTTTTTTTCATTAGAACAGCAACGTACCCTTATCATTTTGCAGATTTATTGGTAGAGGTATTGAAAACAGCTTCCCATCCATGAAGCGCATAAAATCAACTAACCTTTAAGGGTATTTTGGTAGATGTTGCATCTTCTACATAAGCGGGGGTAGGTCTAGTTTGCTTTCAACTTTTTTCAAGGAGGTTAGGAGTTAGGCTTTCAAAGGGGATGGCTAGGGGGGAGACAAAAGAGCATGGGGAGATATCTATTAAATTTTAATAGGGCAAAATATAATAGTGATAAAATTATTTAATACCTTTATTATAGATCTATTATAATAATACAGTGATATTATATTCTAAATTATTATTTTTTAAATAAAACATAATTTTGTATAATTTTCTACTATCTTTTTAAATGTAATTTAAAAGGATTAGACATTCTATCAGCAAACTCATATTCATGCCAAACAATGTATTATAATAATGCATTGCAATCATTGTAAATGATTTTTTTATTTATATGTTCTAAATAATAATGCATTGCAATCATTGTAAATGATTTTTTTATTTATATGTTCTAAATAATAACTCATTTACATTCACTTTTTCATAGTTGGTAATTGTAATAAATTTATAAAATATTATTTATAGATATTATAAAAAATAGAATGGAACATTCGAAAAATTAATTAATAAAAATTTGATGTGATTATTTTAAAATAAATGGAAATAAAAAGTATTAGTCGTTTTATTATAAATTAGTAGTCGTATTATTACAAATGGCGACGAATGGAGAAAATAATTCCTTGAATGGAGATTCAAAAAAATTGGTGGATTTATCTACGATTAAATTTGATAAATTCGATAATGATACATCTATTTCATGATACTTTTCTCAATGGGAAGCCAGTTTTAGGTTAAAAAACGTAAGCCCATCTGAATGTCAATATAAAGATATATTTTTAACATTTTCTGGCAATAAGAATATTGAGTTGGTGGACCGTTTTGTTATCCTGATTCGATCGAAACTTTATCTTTTATGGAAATTAAGTCAATATGTTTTATATTATTTAAATCGACCTCAACAACTTTTGCTTCTAGATTTAATTTTGTTAGATTACGGAGAACAACTGAAACCATAACTGAATTTGCAGATAAAATTAGAACAATTGATAAGCGTTGTCATTATCTTAATGATATTGACGAGCGTTTACGTGATCAGTTTATGGTTGGCATGGAAATACCGGGATTAGAAAGAGATCTTAGAGCTCTATATCCCGACGGTTTTGATAGAGATAATAATGTACTGACGTTCCAATTTATTCTTGATTTGGCATTAGCTTCTGAGCGAGCAGATAAAGAAATGGCAAATAAAAATATGCCTGTTGTTAATAAGATAAATGATAATAACAAAAGAAATGATAATGATAATAATTATAACATCCAATTAAAACGACTACATTTGATAAAGGCTATAATAAAGTCAAGTATAATAATACATTTGATAAAGTGAATAATAAATACAAATATAATAATGATAAAGATTATAATAAACTTAAATGTTATAAATGTGGTTTTATTCATAATTGAGAAGTGAGATGTCCAGCTACAAATGCGGCATGTAATAAATGTAAAAAAATTGGTCATTTTGCAGTTTGCTGTAAATCAAAGAATTTAAATTAAATAAGAGTGTCATCAAGTGATTCTATTCATAATATATGGAAGATTCAACAAAACCGAGAGAATCGAGCAAATCTAACTGCAGAGATAAATGGGTTAGATGTTGAATTTGATTTTGAAACTGGTGCACAAGCGTCATTGATAGGAATTGATATATGGACAAGTATTGGATGACCCAAAATTAGGCCAACCAGTCCATTGACTGCATATGGTGATCATCCATTAGACGCTAAGGGCGAGACCCAAGTCAATGTTAGGATTAGATCACAGACAAGGACCCTATCAGTGGTAATAATGAATACAACTGGGGTGCATCTTTTCGGATTACCATGGATTATAGCATTCAATTTAGAAATCCCTCTTCAGGTTATGATTAAACAAGTACGCAATATGGTCAACAATATTGAAAAAGAAAAATGTTGCATAACACTGGATTCTAGAATTCGAGATTTGATTAATAAACATCAAGAAAATTTGGATGATAAGATGGGACATATACGTGATTTTGCAGTGCGAATACATTTAAAGGATACCGCTGTACCAAGATCGTTTCCAGCCCGTAGGGTATCATTTCCATTTCGCAAAGCAATTGAAATGGAATTAGACCGATTAGTGACTGCAGTAATTATCAAAAAGATTGATTCGACTATAATTAGGGTACAGGGGTCAACGCCACCTTAAATGTACGCAAGATTAATGGCGATATTCGAATTTGTGCTGATTTTAAAGTTACACTCAAACCGTGTTTATTGTATGACCATCATGCATTGGCGTACGCAGCGGGCAGGGGGGCAAATCCCCCCCCCTCAAAGCCAAAATGCAGATGCCGGACATATTTTTCAAAAATATTATTTTTTATATTTTATTATATTTATTCATATCTATTTCTTTTTAAATTTTTATATTATTACCTTTTTCATTTACTAATTTACTTTATCAATTAATTTCATTTTCAAGTTTTCCTTGTGGCGTAATATTTATCTATTATTTTTAAATTTCCCGGTCTTAGTTAATTTTTGACTCAAAAACTGGCTGAGTTTAGGGTTTTGCCGTGGCCCAGCCGTTTAGCAACACTAACACTAATCTCAAATAAATAAATTTCGCCTCAATAATCGGCTTGAATGAGCCAACGGCTTGAGCTAACGGCTTGAGCCAGCAGCTGAGCCAGTAGGCTCAATGAGCCGGCTTGAGCCTGAGCCAAATTTTTGGCTCAAAACCTTGCTGAGTTTTCGGCTAAGCCGGCTCGGCTCAGCCGTTTAACAACATTACTTGCAACTACAAATAATAAATATCTAAAAAAAAATTCGAGGACAAATATAATGATTTTTTTTATTTTTTCTTTTTATATTCATTATAAAAATAAATATATATTCATTAAATAAATCATTAAACGAAAAATAACAAATTTTATATAAATCCCATTTAAATAATATTCAAAAGAATGATTGCGCAAAAAACCCCCATGTTGCTACTATTTCTACCCTACTCATTGAATCCAACAGGGTCCCATCGAATTGTATTATTCTTAGCCTCTCCTTCTCTATCATCTCCCCCGGCCATATATTCTGATATATATCATATCCATTAAAGAAAATAGCTGCCGTATTAAACAACATGTGAATTATTTTTGCATTTAAATTAATCATCACTCTGGGACACGGATCATGTACTATTCCTTCTTGTAGCATATTTACACATCCCTCTTTATTTGTTTTTCTCTAAGCAAGTCCTTCCTTTGTCCCTCTTAACCGCCGCGGACCCGCATCGCAGATTTTTCGCCATCATATAGTCATAAATTCTCACAGTCCTTCGCCACATGCCCACTCCTTCGGCATCAAAAACATTCCATATTTTTCTTCCCTGTTTCCTTAACATTAACTGAACCCCTTCCATTTTCTCCCGCTCAATCGTCCTCACATTTAAAGCATTTGGACCCACTCCTCTCTGTGGATAACCGCTATTGTTGTAATTGCTAGTAGTACACTCCTCCTTATTATGCCCAAACCGACCACAACCCGCACATCTTAATCTCTCTTATTTAAGTGGACAATAAGAGGCTTTATGTCCAAACTTTCCACAACCAAAGCATTTTGCCTCAGGGGAATCTCTGAGCGTATGACCTGGCTTACCACAATTATAACAACTCATTACCCTCTCCCTCGAGACTCATAATTTTGTCTTATTTCCAATCTCCTCCCCCGAGAATTCTCTCTTGGCTCTCTATACTGTCTCAACACTTGATTATTATCGAAATTTTGCTTATCAGAATCATATATTTCTGTTTATATCACTATCCGTCCAACTCTTAATTAACTCCTGAACTGGTAACTAGGTTACTAAACCCATATCTTCCTCCCCATTATGTCTTCCAATGGTCAAAGTCTGTCCTTTTATTTTAACGCTGCGACTCATGCTCATTCTCATCTATATTAATAGTATAACCAGCGCTCCGAAAATATCATATCTCCCAATATAAAACAAATTTTAAGGTTTTCATTTCAGCGTTATAAAAAATTTATGATTAATTTCAAAATAAAAATCTTAGTCATTTGTAATGTCAACAAATAAAATATCATTAGTAGCGTAAACAAGCCAATGATGCACATATAAATCCACACTTAGGTGAATATATAACAAAATCTGTGAAATTTCTTGTAACAGGTTTATATTTAACAAAATTTGTGCAGCACTTCCCTATAATAGGTTAAAATAACACAAATTTGGACAAATTTCTTGTAACAATTTTATATTTAAAAAAATTTGGGCACCACCTTCCTGTAACAGGTTAAAATAACACAAATTTGGACAGATTTCTTGTAACAAGTTTATATTTGATAAAATTTGGGCAGCACTTCCGTGTAACAGGTTAATATGACAAAATTTTGGGTAAATTTCGTACAATAGGTTTATGTATGCCAAAAATTTGGGCACCAATTCCTTGTAT